GTTATACAAGGAATACATGCTTCATACATTCGTTGTCTATGTGATCATATGCGCTTATGCTGTTAAATACGTTTCAGTTACAAATGAATAGAAAAGCCCACGTAAAAAAAGGTAGGGAACTGGAAAAAATCTACCACGCAAGATTTATCAATAAGCAGAATACGCTTAAAATAATGTAATAATAATAATTATAATAATAATAATTATAATAATATACATTATTATTGTATTATTATACTGCATTATTGTACTATTATGCGCGCTGACACAAACATATAGTATTCTAAAACATATTTAGATAATTCTAACATTCTTTATATATAGGTTGGTACTATAATAAATACTAACGGAAAACTGTCAAAAACAGAAATAATGAACTTGGAACAACATAAACGAAATATACTTCCCATTTATCAGATTATGACAAGTCTCAAATTTTTATTTAGATTTTCTTTACGAAAAGTGGGCAGAATGATGAAAGAAACCCATCATTTTACACTTCCCTATTCATTTCATTCCCATTGTTGTTAAAGGAGAGCTGGATGAATCAGGAAGATTAAGACTTGATATCCTAACCTGTGGCGGTCACTAAAAGAGTTTGTGGCATTCTGAAAATCCATACAGAATCACTGCTGTCAAACAAAAGCTGTAATGACTTTATTGCGTGTCACGCTCTCAACAAAAGCTGTGCATGTTTAACAGCGACAAAAAAATAAAAACAACTATACACCTCGCCCTGACTTTTGTCGTCAGAATCCACTTGTTTCAATTGGTATGACAATGCGGAACTTTTAAATCGATGATAGCTCAAAATACAAATTGAAATTTGCTTGGTCATTTTTCTAACTTTTTACTATTTTCCTTTAGTTTTGAATGGAAATTTTAATGCGACAGTCGTAAAAAAAAAAAAAAAAAAAAAAAAAAAAAAAAATAAGATAAATATCATCGAATAGCTTTGAATGCATTCTTCGAGACTGGGGAGGGGAGGTGCTTGCGTTTTTTTCCCCCGGCCTGACTAAAAGAGGAAAAAACAAGTAGTGACGTTAGTCGCGTGCCAACGGCGAGTAAGTCGTCGAGCGGGTCTTCTTTATCTGCCTATTTTGGCGCGTGATGCAACGCTTGTTGTCGATCTAAAAACGTTTTAACAGTGGACGCGAGAATATGTGCTATTTATTTGTTTAAATGTTGGTACGACTTATTAGATTTCTGTCGAACAACCTCAGTTCTCTCCTACTTTTAAGTTCGAATGTCATATGTTCGGATTTACCAAGATACTGGTTTTAGTTCGGTTTAATCCGTAGAATTCAGTTACAGTCGTAATCAAAACGTACTTTATTACAGATTTTTATCATGCTCTGGATTTAAGTTTCCCAGGCTCAGCGATGCCAGGATTCGTAAAATCCTGCCACTCGATGAAATTTCCGATCAATTTTCACCTTACACACAGATACGTGTAACCATATTTATCATGCTTAATTTTTATTAGCCCAGCTGGGCTCGATTCATTTTGCGTCGAAGACTTTAAAAGGTCTCAATCATTTTTTAAATTACTGCCACCAAATATTAGAGCCCTGCATTATATTTAAAGAAATTAAACAATGAAGAATCTGCATAAATGTATGTATATGTCTCGCATTGTGATAAAACAATGGTACCCAGAGCCATCCAATTTTGAATAATGTAATCCTCCTGCGAATATGGGCATCTGGAAGCCCAAATTTGGAATTTGGTTTATTATCTATTTTATATTTTGTAAAGCATTTATGAGTTTTTAATTAAGAAACTCAACGATTTCAAAGCGAATAATGGCAACACTGTACGAGGGGGGTGGGAGATTATCTCCACCGCGCGATACTCTGTATCGGAAATTTTTTAATTTCTTTAATAATCCGTATAGTAAAATAATGTTTTTAAATTATTGTGCGATATTGCTGTTGAACTGAATTTTATGGTTTAAGTGCGAAAAAAAATATATTTAATAAATGAAGGTAACACACAAAACGTTAATAAAAAACGCGCCTTGGGCATGATATAAAATCTGAAAGCTTTCAGAAGCAACCAGGGACGACATGTTTTCTATCGGCGAAAGATCCGGAGAGCGAGCCGGCCAGGGAAGCAATTCAGTCTGGTGATTGACGAAGAACCCTTGGACAATGTGTGCCACAATGTGTCCTGGAGTGATATCCAGTATCGCCCCATGCCATAATACCCGGTGCAGGACCAGTGTGGCGATGCGTAACGCAGCTGTTCAGCATCCTCTCTACACGCGTCAGTAAAGACAATTTCATTCCATTCTGCCGTCCACATCCTTCTTTCATCGCACCACTGGCGGCGGAGACGTCTGTGGTTCTGCATCAAGGGCAGACGAAGCAATGGACGTCTTGCTGTAAACGGCGTCGAATGGTACGCGCAGACACTGGATGATGCGTTACAGACTGAATGTGCTGTGCTGTGGTTCGTGATGTGACTGAGCGATCCGTCACTGCCATCCGCACAATGTTCCTGTCATCACGTGAAGTGGTGCACTGAGGTGGATGCGATCGAACACGTCGGTCCGTCGTACCCTCCTACATCCGACGGTCACATATCCGCATTGCAGTTGTTTCGTTTCGTCCGACACAACTACCGATTCCCCTGAAAGATAATCCACACTCTCGGTAGGCCACTATCCTCCCTCTGTCGAACTCGGATACTTGATCAAACGATGATCGCTGTTTACTACAAGGCATAATTGATCGTTATTTTTTTAAACCACAATAAAAACACAATTGCCGAACTTGAAATCGTCGAAAAGTCCAAGCTTTAAATAGCGCTTTGAAGTGGCGCCACAGGGGCGCGAGATGTGGGTCTGCGCTGAAATTCTAATCATTTGCATATCTCACCTCCGCTAATGCATGTTGTAAATTTCATGTTATTTGCATGCTTCCTTCAGGGTGTTGCATTTACGGTGGCCAGCAGTGTAGTTCCATATTTTTTTTTTTTTTTTTTTTATCATTCTTGTTTTAAAAGCGAATGTTTTTTTAATCTGTAAAAATTTCAAAACTTTATATCCGATAAAATTTTAGACGTTGAAATTTTAAAATCATAAGCATTAAATAGTCTAAAAAATCGGGCAAATATTAAAAATTTGCCCCAAACTCAGAAATTAAGTTGCGACTTTGATACAAGTTTCAGAGTAACGTTTTTTCCCGCTGTGTTCGATTTTTCAAACAGGAAAATTGCGATATGCTTAGATTGTTCGATAAACGAAGATTTGTGCGAAAAAACATTTAACATTAAAAAAAAAAAAAAAAAAAAAAAAAAAAAAAAAAAAAAAAATCTGATTTGGACACCACATGACTTCCTTGCACAGCCTATTTAATTATACATATTTTTTGCTGCACTTGATCTAAACTTATTTCCTCGAATTTCATTACAGATATATTTCTATTTCAATCAATTCAGTTCTCACTTCGCAGCAAGGCATACATAATAACTCAAAACATCTTCATTAAAAATTGTAAAATACAGGAAAAACTTAAGCAACAAGTACAATTAAAACAGTTTAATTTCTTTTTACAATTAAAATTAGAATTTCTACGATAAAATAGGAAATTCTGCCAAAGGGAAGAAAAACAGAAATTTCGGTGCACGGAAATGTAAAGTTTTGTTTTGGCCCCACTGGCAAAAAGATACTGAAGTTGCTGCACCAACGGACTTAATTCACTATACTAAGAGCTTTAAATGTAAACAAACAGCCGCCACGTTAGGCCTAGCCGCTTAAACATTTGCATTGTTGGTAATTTTACAATTATTGCATACAGATTAACTAAGTGCATAAAAAACTTAACCGGAACATAAGAACAACATAATTCAATCACTTTTAAAGCAAAAAATGCAAAATTTACCAACATATAAGAATAAAAAACACAGTTCACGGAGCCAGGGTGGGTATATATATATATATATATATACAAGTTTGCTGCGGCCGATTGCAATAAAAAGAGAGGTGCAAAACTAGATGTTATACTTCCATATACAAAATCTCTGCGTTGTACTGCTAATCGTTTTGACTTATACAAGCTACATGCATACGAAAAAATTCCTTTTTGAATGTATTTTATAATCCGTTTTGGAATATAGAGTTCTTTATCCTGTCCAAACATCCAAACATCACGCAAAAAAAAAAAAAAAAAAAAAAAAAAAAGTCCACATGGATCTGGGAACGGTAGAAATGGATATTTTCGTTGAAATATCTTACCTGAAATTTTTCGCAATTACAATACTTCCTTTAATTCGTACAAGGAGGTAAAAACCTAAACCGAATTTTGAAAAAATTCCCTTTACTATACTACATTTTGACTCAGAAACAGTGCGTGTACCAAATTCGAACTCCATAGCTTATTAGAAAATAGTTTAAAAATCGATGACGAAATTCCATTTACAATGAAATCCCATGAGTGAAGTATAAGAAATTATAAAAATAAAATTTTGGGGGAAAATGTTATACATGAAAAAGAAACTCTTGATGAAATTTTTGTGAAAAGTATCCTAACCGAATGAATCACTACATACTGTTAGCTTAACCATACAATCATGAGATGATTTCATCCTAATCCTGGATCATATCATGATTAGCCTAACCGAATGAATAAGAACATATTTGACAGGATCTTCGGGAAATTAATTAAAAAAACTATTAATATATCTTTTTGCTTACTATAGATCTATAAATATGTTGTTTTTAATGTATATGCTATTTCAGTTATTTTTTTAAACATCCAACAATAATTATCATTAATTATCATTAAATAATTATCATTAATGCAAAGGGGCTGTACCCTCTTGAGTTTTCACAAATGGGTTTCTGTTATACTGAAATTAATATAAGAGTTCTACTTTCCATGCAGTTTTCTAAACCCGGAAATCAATAAATCCATCTAAGTATCCAAAGAGAGGGAAACATATATATCTTTTACTGATAAGTAAGGAATATGAAGTCAAAATTTTCTTTCTTCCAGGTGCCGAAAACATCCTTCCCCTCCCACTCTCACGTCGATTTCCGTTAAAGCCTATTTGGAAGGATGTGGATGACACTTCTCTAGGCAGGAGGCGGCGAAAGTCTGTCCACAGCTGTCGATTCTGAGCCGGGTCGCGACATCCGGGATTAATGTGTCTGGCTCCTCGTTCGGTTTTAAGATTTAGAAAAGCGTAGTAAATGGGATTTTCTACATCATGGCTTGCTCCCACGAAATCCGAAAGACTTCTTAAGATCGGATAAATAACAAAATATCAGCAAAGAGTCCCTGTCAAAGTCTACGAAACGTGTTGAAAATTTGAGCCACAAGAAGACCTGATTTTACTTCTCTGAACTTTTTGTAAACAGGATAGAACTTCATTTTCCGCTTTCATGGATTTGTCCCGAATTTCTAGATGAGTTTCATTTGCCATTATTTTGAAAATACAGAATACCAAATATCCGAACAAAGCAGGATAGACCATGTAGTTGTTTGGAAAATCCAAATAAAAGATTTTTTTTTTCTGTAGGTTAGATACTTATTGAATATTGTGTAACTCAGGCAGTTTTTTTTTTTTTTTTTGTTATTTCTTTATGTTATTTCAAATATGGCTATCCTACTAGAAAATAATACAAAGTAAACCCTTCCTTAGTCGACCAGCCACGGCCCAGACAATTTTGCTCATCCAGGAAAAAACTTTCTAACAATATGATTGTTGTTGATGGCCGTTTATCGATTTGGGTATCATATTTATCCTATTTAAGACTCTCTATCCTGTTAAAGAAAAGTTCCAGAATGTTGAGATATGTTAAAGAATAACATGAAAATATTTTAGTTCTTTAAAACGCTGTAGCTGAATGTCATTTTAAATTACGCCACTGTAGAGAAATTGAGGTTATTTTCGATATCAGGAAGCTGAAAAATATGCAACGCCAACGCCGGGATTCGAACCTGGACCTCTCAAATACGCGCCGAGTGTGCTAACCGTTACACCAGGAAGGCATGCTGGAAAGAGGAAGAATATACCTTATAACTTGAACCACCTATTCTAGAGTAACAGGCTGTAACAAATGTCATCATAAAATTAGTTAAATAAATGAACCATAATAAATACATCAGAGTCCCGGATGTGACACGATAGCTGCCATTCGGTGGTTGCTGTTATCTAAAGGATTGTAATCTGTAGGTGGCTGAAAAATGTTATTAATTATTTAAAAACTTGTTTTTGATGCAAGTAGAAGAATTAGAAATTCTGTAGTAGTAAAGTGACATAGTAATAAATGGCATTAGAAAAGTCTTTTATTAATTTAATGAGATTAATAAAACAAATATTCTTTTAACGTGCTATTTGTCTTTAACATCCAGTAACACTTTTTTTGGCTAAACTGGTGTATAATATTGCGATTAAAAAAAAAGGTTATCACTACTTATTATTTAAAACAAACCACGAGTTGCTAATTGTGCTCAAAAAACACAGGAAGCGTTAATTGTTTCGATCTCAGTTCTCTTTAACTGCTTTGTGTGTCAAGGTCGAAATCGTTTCTACAGACAAAAACAGCAACTTTTCATTGTGCACCAGGGATGGCGGGAAAATTACGCGTGACCTGTAACTAGACGCTAACAAAGAATCAATAAAGAGAGAAAGAAAAAAGTCGATTACTTTTTATGATCAGAAAAAAAGCAATGTCAAGTGGGGCTATTATCTCGCTCTTTTAAGCAATGGTGGATATCGGAAATATTAAAAATATCGTTGTTCATTTTCCATGTACTCTCATGCATTATTAAACACTGTTCTTGAAAGCTAATTTCATTTTTTTCCTTCATCTTTTATCAAAATTGTGAATAAAATTAAAGAATAATTTAAGAGGCAGGTGTTTTTATTGTATTTTAAGGAAGTAGTGATTGCGAATCATATTGCCATGCAGGTTATTGATATAATAATAAATAAAAAAATCAATGGCTTTTCCCAAATTGATTCGGTTTTGCAGAAGGGGAAATTATACCAAGTATTTAAACATTGCATTAAAAATATCTTCTAGAAATCGCAATAACACTAAACCTGTTTTAATTTGTTGCAATTATTTATTCTTCACCCTCCAAGGATTTTGCCACCCGCCAAGTGTTTTTTTTTTTTTTTTTTTTTTTTTTTTTTTTTTTTAAGATTTTGCTTTGTTTACAAAGAATTAGCTTTTTCCCGCTCCGCTCGACGTTTGAATCCAAATGATCTGATTATTCGTCTGCCAGTTTTACAATTAAGTTTTGTTTCAAACAGTTTGTCTAACTTAACTGAAAGTTTTACTGCAATAATTTTTGGTTTTGCTTGATTTTTCGCAGAGGAACCAAATTTACGATTTATTGGTGTTAGCTTGAAATGCCGACTTGATCCTTACGTCATTTCAACTGTTCCACGAACGCGTCGCAAAATCTAAAATAGTTGAACATTTTACATTAACGATTTTTCTAGTGCTTCTAATATGCACCTTTTGATTACTTTTAAAATGTTGTATAACTAAATTTCTATCATTTTTTCATAGGGTCTTGCTATGTTTATTCTCTTCGAATTTAAAACTACTGAAATGTTTTGCTGAAAATCTAACAGTTTGAACTAAAATGATAATTTTTGTCATGTGTTTCTATTTATATTCAAAAAATGTACCAAAAATGATTTTTGAAAACTATAAGAAAGTTTGTAGAGACATTAGGTATTTTTGGAAAAGCCGAAGAGATGAAAAATTAGCAATCGCCTTCGCCGGGAATCGAACCACGGACCTCTGGATACCGGCCCAGCGTGCAGAACCACTACACCACGAAGGCACGCTAGAAAGGCGGGAGAAATACCTTACAAGTTAATTACAATTTTTTTTGATGTTTTCAATTAAAAATTCTAAATCAAGGAAAAAGAGGTTTCACTTACCTTTGTTTTTATTCCAAAGGTTCTAATAGCGCCAAGCTTGCCTAGACAAAACTTCAACGATCTGTACTTGAAATTTATATTCTAAGAACACATTTTTATTTCAAAAAAATCTTACATGTCGAACACGAAAAACACAGTTACGATCTAAAAAGAATTACAGACGACTTCTTTTGAAATCCGAACTCTTATTGCCAGTTTTAATGACATAAAAAAAAATTTAAAAAAAAAAAAAAAAAAAAAAAAAAAAAAAAAAAAAAAAAAAAAAACATAACACTTCACGCCATCTGGTGAAAAAATAATTGTTTATTTTTTTCCTTTTTGAAACCCATTTTCGACTTTTACAAAAAATCTCATCAAAATATTTGTATATTCAGATTAGTATGAAATATCGATTACAGAGCTTTTTGAATCAATTATTTTATTTAAAGATACGCTTTGGACCTACATTTTTAAAACAAGCAGTTTTCGAAACAGGTAAACAACAGCACATGCGGAAAAAAATTGAAGTTTCAACATTCCGAAGATGCTTTTTGCAAATAATTTCAAAACCACAAATGTCCCAAAGCAGTTATAAGCCTCTGTATATCCATGGCTTGAGATAAAATTTAATCCCTTACTTTTTAGTAACTTAGTTTATGTATACTAAGCCTACTTCTGATTCCCAAAGGTTCGAAAAGGAAATACCTGTTGTCAACTTCAATCGCAAATAGATCCAACAGCTGCCCCCTCCGGATAAACGAAGTAAATATTTCAGAGATTGCCATAAAGGATTTCAAACTCATGTCTAAAGAATTTCAATTTACGAGATTAAAATCTTTCTTTTCACTTAAAATCTTAAAAAAAAAGGAGTATTACATTTTTATCCCTTGTGGGCGTAGATAAACTGAGTGGAGCACGTGTTCCATATCAAGCGCGTATTGAAATAATGGAAGCATTCTACTGCTGCGGGGAACGCATTTCTGATCCATTTTGTTTATTCCTTACAGGTGAATCTTTTAAAATGGCAAGAATATGAAAGATGAAATCATCATCATCATCTGATAAATTCAATATAATATCCAATTATTTTTTCTGTTCTAATTAATAACTTTCTAATTAATAATTATCTGACACAGACCCGATAAAATCTTTTTTTATTAGACCCTATGTGACAATTATTTATTGTTGTGATGTTACGGGTTTAAAGATATTAGCTTAAACAACACTTAATCTAATATTCCATGTCTTAAGACTTCCATGCTACAAATATTAATCTTCTATGCGAGTACTAAAATTAGATGAAATTATTATAGTTTTTACCTTGTAGAGTAATTAGGTTATTTTGAAGCAGGAAGCGTGAAAAATATGCAATGTCGTTGCCTGGACTCGAACCTGGATCTCTCGAATACACGTTGAGTGTGCTACTGTTACAACAAAAAGGCAGGCCGAAAGGAGGGAGGAAATACCTTATAACCTAATCGAAGATTGATACCGGCAGAATTTTATTAATCAAAATTTTAATCAAAAAGTAAAACATGCAAAATGTACAACTTCTCTTCAACTTGCAAAAAAGTTTCACGCGAAACAGAAAAGCAATATTTAAACCTGCGAGTTTAAGAGTTATATGGCTTGTCTGTGTTAAGTCTTGTGACCGACGGTTCTATAGTATTCTTCCCATGAAATCATGCTTTTAGCTTCGGGAACGCTTGTTTTATCTTCTTACAAAATCAGATAGAATCCTAAGAATATTAACTATATATAAAGCAGAAAATCTGTTTGTCTTCTAATAACTCATTCACTACTATAGCTATCGTCACCAAACTTTCTACAATTCTTTTCTGGGTTTTGGAAAAGGTAAACGCCCACTTAAAAAAAAATAGTTAAAATCAGAGATATTAATTCGAAAAACAATCATTTTTGCCCTCATTTTTTCGAGTGGCAACAGTCTCGCAAGCTGGAGATGAAAATCTAATTTATTTCGAAATTTGCTGCGATTGATCGCTTTCAAATCCTAGAGTTCGTTAATAAATAATTTCTTTTAATAAAGTTTTACGATGAAATAAAAATAGCATCGCCAAAGATTGAATATATTATTCCCGATTCCAAAAATTCGTGGGAAGCTATTTGGACTATTCCCATCTTCGTACGACTTTAATTAGCCGAGATATTAATTAAGAACCCTGAAAACATTAGTTTTCGCACTCATTTTTCCGAGTGGCAACAGTCTCCCGCATTGGAAATAAAAATACTTTATTTCGAAAAGTTTTGCTTCTGCTAGCTTTCAAATCGTAGAGTTTGCTAATAAAAAATTTGTAAGTTTTATAAAATTTAAATATATAACGAAGAATGCCTGTTTGTGTGTTTGTTTGTTCGCATTATTGATTTCTGATTAACTATGATAAATTTATTCCCACATTTAATCGACTAAAATATTGGATGGAGTTTGCGCCATTACGACCATTTGATTAGAAAGACGAAAATCATTAAAAACTGTGAGCCATTGTTGCTGATATAATGAGAGAGAATAAGTTTATTTTTCTATGGAAATTTTTTTATGTGAGTACCATATCGCATGAGACTGAAAAATGTATGACTATGAATCGTACTTTTTGCATCGTTATTAGAGAAGGATTA